GACCTCGATTCGTTATTTCGAATCGGATATCCTGTATATGATCAAGGTTTCAGATTTTATGCATGATTCTGAACATGTTTCATGTATAATGTCCTATACCAAAGTCTAACCGTTTTCGAAATATTTAAAATTTCAAGTTGAAAACTGCGTTTGCAGACCGAAAAATGTATTTTTTTTATTTCTGTTTCAGTAGAATTCCGATATCAATTCGATTACAGTTATACAGGGCGTTCACCAGAAAAGGATACAGATCCGGTTGAAAAAATCATTGTAAGTCAATTTTTTCGAATGGAAACCTCCCAATTTTATATTCTCATTCGATTCGGCATCGAAAATGAAGCTAACTTTGAAAGAGGTTTTCTATGCCTATACACTCAACAGTATTCGAAATATTGGCGAATTAACATGTCTCAGTTCCAGAAAATCTCGAATTCTTGAGTTTACTTATTCTTAGTTGGCCATGGCGCCCGCAGTTGCGCTGGAAACAATCAACTGCCACGGAAACGCCCTGTATAACTGTAATCGAATTGATATCGAAATTTGACTGAATTTCCATTTTCAGATCCTCCCTGATCTAATCTGATAACGCCTGGTATCATTAAAATCCTTATAATGATTATTATACACGGTGACATGAAAAATGCAATTAACCAAAAATTGTAACGTTGATACAAAACACCACTTATATAAGATATTGTTCTGAACATAAATATAGGGGTATTTGTGACTAGTCCGAATTGATTGCCATTATCAAAAGGTTTGTGAAAAAATACTTGATTCGTTTTCTTCAATTTTGCTGAAGTTTCTGTGATCGCAATTGGCCAAAAATTTGTTTTTGAGTACTTGTGTCTGCTCGACAATTTTGAGTAGAATTTTTTGAGAGAGAAAAATTTCAAGTCTCTTTATAGGAATACGAAAGTAAAGGGGTGGGGTGGACCAAATTTCAACACACTGTATATTATTATTATTATTATTATTATTACAAAAATGATAAGAGCAGGAGCCAGAGGCTCATAATGCTCAGGATAACAAAGTTATGTAACAATTTGTGCCCTATAGTCTAATAATTGGATGCATTGGATGCTTAGAAAATAGCGAATAAGAGAATAAGAAACCAAGTATGAAAAGTACTCAATATGTCGATATTAGTTATTGTTCATATGGTGGTCCAGGCGGCTTTTGAACGAGTTCAGAGATGGAGCAGACACAACTCCATTGGGTAAAGAGTTCCATTGATTGACGACACGGTTGGAGAAGAAATGTTGTCTTGTCGAAGTGCGAAAATTCTCTTTGCGCAGTTTGTAGACATGCCCACGAAGCCGAGGGTCCGTATCTAGATTGAAGAAATCTTGACCAATGAAGAAATTGCCGTGCAGGATACGGTATGTAGTTATCAGGTCACCACGTTCACGTCTCGATTCTAGGTATGGTAGTTGCAGTCTTCGAAGTCGTTCTTCATAGGGGATGTTCTTGAAACCACGAGGAATTTTGGTGGCTCTTCTTTGAACTCCTTCAAGGCGATTAATGTCCTGTCTGAGTAGGGGGGACCAGATAACCACTGCAAACTCGAGATGGGGCCGGATGTAAGTGTTGTAGATTTTGAGGAATGCCTCGGGGGTCAGGTCCTGGAATGATTTCTTTATCATGTATAATATTTGGTTGACCTTACTGACAACTTTGGTGACGTGCGCACTCCAGCTTAGGTTTTCAGTGATGATGATGCCAAGGTCATTTTGCTGAGTCACTGGTGTTAAGTTAGCGCCGTTGACAGAGTAAGAACGATGAGGGTTTCGTTTTCCAAGATGTAGGACAGAACATTTAGCCTGATTAAGGGGAATCAACCACTTGGAGCACCAATCAGTAATGCCATCTAGGTCATCCTGGAGAGTGGGTGATGGAGCGGAGTATATCTTAAGGTCGTCTGCGTATGCCAGTGCCGTGGACAGGCAATTTTGCGTGAGGTCGGATACATATACCAAGAACAAAATGGGCCCTAAAACAGAACCTTGCGGAACTCCACTCAGAACGACGCGTGATTCAGAATTGCTATCACCTACCCGAACAGAGAAACGTCTATCAGTCAGAAAACACTCGATCCATTTCAAGAGATTATCTCGCACCCCGTAATGTTCTAGCTTATGAATTAGACGAGAAATTGGCACTTTATCAAAAGCTCGCGAAAAGTCCAGGTACACTACATCAGCGTGTTCACTATTGTCAAGATAAGTGGTCCATGAGTTGACAGCAGAGAGTAGATTTGTGACAACGGAACGAGAAGGAAGGAATCCATGCTGATGTGGATCAATAACGTCATTGTTGACTAGGAATTCGATGAGTGCTCTACATATTATTCGTTCCATGACTTTACATGGGACTGAGGTTAGACTGATAGGGCGATAGTTGTTGGTTGATAACTTGTCCCCTTTTTTGAAAATGGGTGTTACTCTAGCCATTTTCCATCCATCGGGAAGAACGCCAGTCTCCATGGATCTATTCATCATTATTGAGAGTGGCTCGCATAGTTGCTCGGCGCATCTAGATAGTAGAAGAGGATGGATGTTGTCGGCCCCGGGTGACGAGTCTGGGCGTAAATAGCGAAGAAATTCACAGACGGTGCCTGGATCGAACTCGATGTTATTAATACTTTCAACTAACCTGGTATCAGCATGCAATTGAGGTGGAGGAGTACTGGGGTCAATCGTATAGGCCTCGAAAAATGAGTCCGCGAATGCCTCCGCCACATCTATGTTGTCCCTGCAGATATTACCTTCGTTATTGCGGACTAAAGGTATGGTCACACGTGTAGACAAACGTGAGCGGGTGTATTTATAGAATGCTTTGGGCCCATCGTTTATCAATATGTATCATTTAAAATTCACGTGATGAACAGGGTTGGAATATGTTGAGGGCGGAAAAAGTTCAGACTCAGACCAGTGCCAAGAGTGGTAATTGGTAAACAATATGAAATAGGTATTAAAAAAGCTAGAGATGAGCGAGATTACGGAAAATTTACGCCTGCTGCGCAATTTGTGTGATCTAGCCTTTTCTAGCTATTTTTCGATAGCTCATTGGCGTTTTTCAACAACTGATCGTTAGCAACACTAGGAATTGATTTGAGCCATAATAGACCTTTTTCGGCAACCGCTCTCCTAATAATACAGGCCATCCAATGGATGTCCATTTCAGGTCCAAAAAAGTTTCGGTTGTCCATGGACAAGAAATGTACATCCATTGGATGTACCAATATGCCTATTCAATGGAATACCACCAAAACTATTCCGAAGGATATCCAAAAAAGTTCCGGATATTGATGGACATGAATTGTACATCCATGGGATAGACATCAATTTTCAACCTATGGATTACTAGTGACACCTTTCCAATGTATATCCATAATGTATCTATTAGCCTGAAAGAATGTAAATGCCATCGCCATCTTTGTTCCGTGTTCTCTATTGTCTGTTCGTCATGTATTCCGTCCCTTGAGTCGTTCGTGTTTACTATTATTGTATGCAGAAGTTTGTATCGTTTGAGGCAGATTCATGCTGCAATATATTAGTGAACTAATTATTCGAGGTCAATTTGAGGTATTATTTCATGAAAAGTGTGTGTGTGTGTGATTCGAAAGTGATTTATTTTTCTCAATTAACCAAATTAAGTGATAATGTGATCAAATAATGAACGTTGTATGAATCAACCATTCAAGCTGTAGAAGTGAATACTATAGATAAATGTCTCATAGCAGGGCTCAAACAGCTATAGTTTAGACTCTTGGGACAACATTATAAAAGAAAGAATATACTCAAATTTCATAGGGGGAGTGTTTTATTTATATTGCCCAAAACGTATACATAAAATGTATAATTCATGTACAATATTTGTACAATAGGTGTACTGTAGCTATCCAATTCATGTCCAGTAGTTGTACAATTTATGTCCAATATTTGTACTATTCATGTTCAATAGGTCTACAATTCATGTTCAATAGGTGTACAATTCATGTCCAATAGTTATTCAATTTATGTCCAATAGTTAAACAATTCATGTACTGTAGTTGTACAGTAGATGTACATGATGCACATTCAATGGACATCCAAACTTGTGGCCTCTGGATTTACAATGGATTTCCATTGGATAGATGCTGGACATTTTGAGCCATCCAATGTACATCCAGCATGTCCATGTACGTCTATCCATTGAATAGCTTTGTGTTATTAGGGCCGCATCCGGGAAGTGCTCACTTCCCGGACGCTTTTTCTTTGAGAAAGTAGAATTTTCCGGGACTAGGCCGGGAAGTATCACATCATTGTTGTCATTGTAACTATGGAGATCTTGGTAAATATGGTTTTGATAATTGCAGATGATAATTACCGTAGCAGCAAAATATCGGCTGACAGCTATTTGACATGAAACTAGTTGACATTTTGACTGTCGAAAGTTTGATTGCAATTATCGCAATGAACTATCGAAAGCAGCTGCGATAGTGAGCTTGAAAATGTCTATACAAAATTTTCAGTGTAACAGTTAGTAGGTATAGGTATTCATCTGTTCAAATTTCAGTATTTGATACAAATGAGAGTTAATCAGGAAGAAATTGTATTCTACAAAGAAATATAATATGGAAATGTCTCTCATTGATTTGTTACTCTACATGGTTGCCGAAAAAATAGTGTACGCAACACGTCCAAGAACAGTTCTTCTGGACTCGCAGACTTCCAGGACTCGCTTACGGCTCGGCCTAGAATTTTGTCTTCTCGTCCAAAAAACAGTATTTTCTGGACTTGTTACGTAATATACTATAACGGGTAGCGGTGGAGGGCTGAATCATTGTCGAACTAAATGAAAACCTAGTAGGCGGCCTAGTTCGCGAGGAGGTATTATAGCTCTCGCCTACAAACTACCATTAACTACCCAACTAGGTTGCCATCTAGAACGACAATGGCTAAATAGACCCACTGACTTGTAACCCAACCTAACCTTAATATATTTTTATCTTCAAGCTGTTTCCCAGAGGACTGTTCCAAAAATATGAACGTGGATCATTGTTAGAAAATAAATCGAAGAATCGATACAAAAATCTTATAGCATGTGAGTTGTTCGTTATGAGACTACTGAAAGTTTGAAATTGACTTCACTATTCACTCTTTTCCAGATGATCACACCAGAGTGAAACTCAGAGAAATTCCTGGAGAAGAATATTCTGACTACATCAACGCAAATTATATAGACGTAAGTTGTGAAGGAATAATTTCGTGTTTTGATATTTTGAGATCACACTATACTGGGTGTTTCCTATCTACGGTACGAAACTTATGAGGGTGATATGTTAGGTCGTTCAAATTAAAGTTTAAATAGTCCAGAGTTGTTTCGTTTCTGAGATACAGGGCGTTGCCCTTTCAGAATAGAATAGAATAGAATATAATAGCTTTAACAGGAGGGGTGAAAGAACTTACAGTCACAACTCCACCACATAAAAATGTTTAATAATGACCAACGGTCATGGACATAAGTAAGGACATGTTTCGAAGGATTGATCCTTCATCATCAGCAAATATGTTAAAAAGAAAATCTGTAAAAAGAAACAATGCCTACGTTGGTTATAATAGCTTTATTCAACCAATGTTCATTTTGTGTTTGGCAAGTCATGTACAGATACAAATTCATTAAAACAACAAAAATTTAGTTTATAAACATATGAAGATAAGAACAGTGAATAAATCACAAACATATATCTTACGTGGATGAGCAAATACTACTAACACGCGCACACACAATGCACTACAAATTGAGATTTAACTTTGTGAATGAAAATTATTAGTACTTAAGTTGTTTCGTTTCCACTCACTTTATAATTTTATTTCAAATATATTTTGTTTATAGTTTAATTGGGTATTTGGTATTAGTCTAAAAAATCTCTTTCTATTCTTTTTAATATAAATTAAATTTACTTATACAATTTGGCGCGTTATTCTGCTGTGATTTTCCACAATCTCGTGGATTCAAACCACGGAAGAGATGACGCGAGTTTTGGTGCGTACCTGCGTACCTCTCATGGTACGATTTGGTGACAGCGAGTACAGTCGAAAAATACACGTTAATGGTACCACTGTGGTGTTGTGCACAATCTCGACCGACTCAAGAATTCTCTCGATCTCGCTCCGGAACATTTTGATCGACCACTCTCTCGATCTACATCAACATCAATCTTCACTAAAGGTTAGTGGTTATATCACAGCTCGTTTTTCTCATGTACCTACTAAAGAATTTGTTTATAAGATATACATATATTCACAGAGTGCAAAACATAGTAAATAATAAATAAATACAGTCCATTGATTCGTAGAAGATAAACATTTCTGGTCCTTCTCGCCAAATTCTTTTAAGATTTTGAACAGCTAATTACTATTTTTTGCAAATCAGTGAATTTGTGAAGAAAGAGATTTTTGGAAATTTCATATCTATTGAATTCAATTATTCAGATAAATTTCAAGCAAATCGTCAAAGACGTATGATAATTATCGTTCTCATTTGTGGTCAGTCCCAGTTTTTTTTTGCTCGTTGTTTTTGCTTCTGCTCGGCGTGGGTCAACTTCTCTTGCCTCTCTTTTAATTCTCGATTATCGATAGGTCGATAGTGATAAAATAATTCAATTATTTATACAGGGTGTCACTCATTTCCAATTTTATTTTTTCTCCTTTGCTCATCGCAATTTACGAATCTCATTTTCGGACTAATAAATAAAATATCACGCTTTCGTCACGTTTTGTTGACCTTGCCACAATGAGTACTACCGCAAATAAATTAAAGCAATTAAAAGCTCTTCTAGCTGTCGCAATTGAAAGAATGACAGATATGAAAGTCATAGCAGAAAGTGCAAAAGTTAATCAAAATTTTATTCTGCAATTCAAAGCACGTGTTACTCAGTTGGAGACACTTCATCACGAATTCAATACTCATCATAGTTCGTTGATTGCACTCGCTTCTACTATTGAAGATTATAATATGGCAGAAGAAGATGCCACTCGTAAAGATTTCGATGAAAATTATTTCACTGTCATCTCTATTCAATATGAATTATTTGATAATTCTGGAAATAATTCTGATAATCAAAATGTTCAAGTTGACTTCAAGAGCCACGTAAAATTACCTCAAATCGAGCTTGTGAAATTCGATGGTGATCCAAAAAAATGGAGAACCTTTATTGATACCTTCGATGCCCTAGTACACAACTCATCGCTGAAAAATATTGAAAAATTCAACTATTTAATCTCAACTCTGACAGGCCCCCCTCTTGCTTTAGTCAAATGCAATCGCTTGAGTGATGCTACCTATGTGATCGCATACGATAGCCTCAAATCACGCTATGAAGATAGACGTGCAATGGCTACAGCTCATTATCTAGAACTTGAAAAGGCTGTGAAAATTCCCGACTCTAATGTCACTTCTCAGGGATTGAGGCACCTTTTGGATATTTATGAAGAGAACTTGGCTGCTTTGAATAATATGAAGTTTCCCACATCTGAATGGGATTTCATAATTTTCAATATGCTCTTAAATCGATTAGATTCGCACACTATCTCGAGATTCGAGATAGAACACAGTTCTATTGACATACCAAAACTAGAGGATTTAACTGCATTTGTTCGGAAACAATGCAATGCTCTAGATAGGGCAGCTGAAATCACTCCTAATAAAACACTTGATAAGCCTGATAGTTTCAGAAATCGAAATTATTCAACAAAGCCTTCTTCAAATCAGCGCCCCAACTCTTCATTTTTCACACAAACCCAAGGTCCTATTACATGTCCCTTTTGCAAAAGAGATCATCTGATTTATAGATGCCCGAAATTCTTAGCCCTCTCTGCCCAAGAAAGATTTAATGCCGCAAAAACAAATAGGTGGTGTATAAATTGTCTTGGTAACAAACATTCATTGAAAGATTGTTCTTCCCTATCTCGATGCGTCAAATGCCATAAAAAACACCACACTCATCTTCATTTTGAACAAGTAGCAATGTCTAGTAATAATACCTCGCCCTCTCACTCTAATGTTCATGACGATAATTCTAATATCACTCCACAAAATGCAACAACACTCACAAGCATGCTTCCAGACAAATCTACGGTTCTTCTTGCCACAGCCGTAGTGGAGGTTTTCGATTCCCTAAATCAAGTGCAAACCGTACGAATTTTGCTTGATTCAGGGAGTCAGGCAAATTTCATAACAGAAAAGTGTTGCAATCGTTTAGGGTTACGTCAAAAACACATATCTCTTTCTATAGTAGGACTGGGACACATGAATTCTAAAGCTTCCAAAAGCGTTTCTCTAACTTGTCGTCCCTGTAAGCTCTCTGAACCAACGTTTTCGATAGATGCGGTTATTCTCCCTCAAATTTGCAATGATATGCCTCAATTTACAATTCCTCACGATTCTTGGACGCATATTTCTCAATTAAATCTAGCTGACCCCAAGTTTCACACTCCCGGTCCTATAGATCTCTTATTAGGAGCTGACTTCTTTCCTCTTATACTTGGTCCGGGACGTCTAGTTGGAAATGAAGATGAACCGGTGGCGATAGAAACAGTTCTTGGTTGGATACTTATGGGCCCCGTTAATATCCCTCTCGCCTCTATCCCTAGCAACTCATTTTTTTGCAATTGTGATGTCTCATTAGAAAAATCTCTAACTCGATTTTGGGAATTAGAAAATATCCCGAAAATCATTTCCTTGAGCTCGGACGAACAACTATGTGAGTCTTTATATATTCAAAATGTCTCTAGGACCATCTCTGGTCGATTTACCGTCGCCCTACCTTTCATAACTCCGGACCCTACTTTTCCCGAATCAAAAAATATTGCTCAAAGGCGGTTTCTCTCTCTCGAACGCAGACTATTGAAAGATCTGCCCCTGTACAAGCAGTATTGCGACTTCATGCAGGATTTTCTTTCTAGTGGCCACATGTCTCTTCTTCAGACGCAAACGCCTTCTGATGATTCTTATTACATTCCCCATCACAGTGTCATAAATCTTAATAGTACAACTACAAAGCTAAGAGTAGTATTCGACGCCAGTTGTAAGTCCACGAATGGGCTGTCATTAAACGATTCTCTCTTGACTGGTCCAAAGCTCCAAAGTGATTTGTTTGATATTTTATTGAAATTCCGAACGTTCCCTATAGCGTTGACAGCCGACATCCGTCAAATGTACCGCCAAATTAACATTATTGAGTCTCATAAAAAATATCAGAGGATCCTTTGGAGGTTTGCACCCCATCAGCCCTTGCAAGAGTTTGTTCTGAATACCGTAACATACGGAGTTTCCTCTGCACCATATCTAGCCATAAAAACTCTTCTGTACTTGGCAGACGCCGATGGGTCAGATTTTCCTCTAGCCGCAAATGCTCTCAAGTCCCACACTTACGTTGATGATTTAGTTATAAGTGTTCAGTCATTGGAAAAGGCCAAAAAGGTGAAGGATCAGCTCATTTCACTTCTCCGAAGAGGAGGATTCGAACTCCATAAATGGGCAAGTAATGACCATTCTCTCGTGTCAGCCCCCCTCACTGATCCCGCATGTCTTTCCTTGAATTTAGATAACGACTCTAATCTCAAGGTGTTAGGTTTGAGGTGGAACTATTCTCGTGACACTTTCTCGTTTCAAGTAAATACAATAGATTCCATCTGTACGAAACGCTCTATTCTCTCCGAGTTGTCAAGGATATTTGATCCTCTTGGATTTCTATCCCCTCTCACCTTTTTCGCTAAAAGGTTGATTCAACATTTGTGGATTTTAGGTCTCGGTTGGGATGACACACCTCCTGTCGATGTTGTTTCCAATTGGAATCAATACAAAATTGAATTATCTCACATATCTAAAATTTCAATTCCTAGGCATATCCTTTGTTTCAACTTTTCATCTTGCGAATTGCACGGGTTCGCAGATGCTTCGCAAAAGGGATATGCAGCCGTCGTTTATCTGAGAGTTCAAGCTCCACATCAAGTATCAATAAGTCTAATTTGTGCAAAATCTAAGGTTTCCCCACTGAAAGTTATATCAGTTCCACGTTTGGAGCTCTGTGCGGCGGTTCTCCTCACGGAATTATTGTCCAAAGTCTTGAACACATACCAGGAGAACATTCAGTTTGATCGAGTTGTCGCCTGGACTGATTCAACCGTTGCTCTATCCTGGATTAGATCTGAACCTTATAAATTTCCCATTTTCGTTGGTAATCGGATCACTCAGATTCAGGAGAAATTTCCTCCAAATATTTGGCGCCACATTCCATCTGCAGATAATCCCGCTGATTGTGCCTCCAGAGGTATATCTTCTTCTTCTCAATTTGTTAACTATTCGTTATGGTGGGCGGGACCATCTTGGCTTTCTGATGATGAGTCTACGTGGCCGAAACTACCAGATTTACCTCCTGATTCACCTTTAGAGGAAGAAAAAAAATGTGCAGTTCTCACAGCGATTCCTGATAGCAATTTTCTTGATACTCTAATTGAAAATCATTCTTCGATGGCCAAAATTCAACGTATTGTTGCATACGTCCGTAGATTCATTTTCAATATTTCTCATCCTACTCAAAAAATTCTCAAATCTCTCACTGACACTGACTTGAATGACGCACTCTATACCCTGATAAAAAACATCCAACAACATGTTTTCTCTAGTGAAATTGCCAACTTAAATAAGAAAAATCCCCTCTCTAAACCCTTTCGAAAACTAAATCCCTTTTTCGATTCAAGAGGCCTGCTAAGAGTAGGCGGAAGGCTCTCATATTCTCGACATTCGTATGATAAACGATTCCCTATTTTTCTTCCTAGTAACCACCGACTTACCACCTTACTGATAGAATCAACTCACAAACAATATTTGCACCCAGGAGTTCAAACACTACACTATATTCTTTCCCAAAGATTTTGGATTTTCTCGGCCAAAAAGGTTATTCGAAAAGTCATCTCAAAGTGCCGAAATTGTTGGAGACTCAATCCTACCCCCTTTCAACCACCTATGGGGAGTCTTCCATCGTTCCGCATATCACAGGTTAAACCCTTCTCAGTTGTGGGTGTTGATTTCTGTGGACCCTATTGGATAACAGCCGCTAAGGTTAAAGCCTCAAAAAAACTGAAAGCTTACATCAGTGTTTTCGTTTGCTTCGCCACAAAAGCTCTACACTTAGAACTTGTATCAGACCTCACTTCCGTCGCCTTCATGGCTGCTCTGCGACGGTTTCTTGCTCGGCGTGGTCGCTGTACATATATATTCAGCGACTGTGGCACTAATTTTGTTGGGGCTGCTAGGGAACTCTCTCAAATGATGCAGGCTGCTGCATGTGAAGAAAATTTGAACTGGCACTTCAACCCCCCTTCCAGCCCTCATTTTGGTGGACTGTGGGAAGCAGGGGTGAAATCAGTCAAAACACATATTTCCAGAGTAATAGGGGAGCAGCTCTTGACATACGAAGAGTTGAACACCCTTCTCATCCAAATAGAGGCAGTCCTCAATTCACGCCCGCTTTGCGCTGTAAGCACAGATCCAAATGATTTGTCGGTTCTCACGCCTGGCCACTTTCTGACTCTCGAGCCATTGAATTCAATACCAGATGAAAATCTTCAGCATTTGAAGTTGAACCGGCTGAGTAGATGGCAACTCATTCAGCGACTCCATCAGGACTTCTGGACTCGTTGGTCCAAAGAATATTTGCATACCCTTCACCAGCGCAGTAAGTGGAATGTCACTCCTGTAACCCCTCTGTTAGGTACTATTGTTCTTATAAAAGAAGAAAATGCTCCTCCGCTGCATTGGCGAATGGGACGCATCATCGAAATCCACCCGGGTCCTGATGGAGTGAGTCGTGTCGCTACCGTCAAGACCTCGAATGGAGAATTTAAACGACCATTGGTCAAGCTATGCGCCTTACCAATGGAGTCCCCAACTTCATAAAAAAAAAAAAATGATTCTCATTTTGGTGGGCGGAATGTTTCGTTTCCACTCACTTTATAATTTTATTTCAAATATATTTTGTTTATAGTTTAATTGGGTATTTGGTATTAGTCTAAAAAATCTCTTTCTATTCTTTTTAATATAAATTAAATTTACTTATACAATTTGGCGCGTTATTCTGCTGTGATTTTCCACAATCTCGTGGATTCAAACCACGGAAGAGATGACGCGAGTTTTGGTGCGTACCTGCGTACCTCTCATGGTACGATTTGGTGACAGCGAGTACAGTCGAAAAATACACGTTAATGGTACCACTGTGGTGTTGTGCACAATCTCGACCGACTCAAGAATTCTCTCGATCTCGCTCCGGAACATTTTGATCGACCACTCTCTCGATCTACATCAACATCAATCTTCACTAAAGGTTAGTGGTTATATCACAGCTCGTTTTTCTCATGTACCTACTAAAGAATTTGTTTATAAGATATACATATATTCACAGAGTGCAAAACATAGTAAATAATAAATAAATACAGTCCATTGATTCGTAGAAGATAAACATAAGTGTTTTCCAATGAGAATTCGAATATAATCATCTGAAGTGTAAGAGCAGTGTATCAAAATATAATTTTTCTGCAACCGACACAAAGGTCGTCCATTTTAATACCAAAAGTAGCTCTTCAATTCACGTTGCTATTGCTGACACAAAAATAGGTGTGTTGCTAGGCAACATATTTAGTTCAACTTCAGCTCCTAGGAACTTTTTTTTTACTGCCAACGGAGGAACAATTGTTGATATTTCAGAAGAGCATCGTCCATGAAAATATCTATAAAATAGAGCCAGATCGCTAACTTTTCTACGGTGTTCCAGAGAAGTGAGTGAGTTTGTGAGCGAGGCATCACTCACGAGACGAATTGCCCTTTTTTGGACAGTGTCCAAAAGTTTCAGGGTATTTTTGGGTGCTGCACTCCAAATATGGGAACAGTATTCCAGGACAGGTCGGATCTGTGCCTTATAGATCATAAGCAGCTGACTGGAAGTGAAATAGCTCCTGGACCGAAACAGAAAATCAAGTTTTTGGGATGCACTTTTGGCATTTGATCTCACGTGATTTTCCCAAGGAAGGTTATTGCTGATAGTTATCCCAAGCATCGAAATGGATGTCTTCAAAGGTATGGTTACTCCTGACGAGCTTATGTTGGTCACAGTGGGATCGGCTTTTCTGGAGAAAAGGCATGCTTGTGTTTTGTTTGCATTGAAATCTACCAAGTTATTGGATCTCCAATCGAGAATTGTTGTCAAGTCCATATTTATGTTGTCAACATTTCTCCCTCGTTCGTTTCTGATTTGCCTGGCTGGAATTGGAGCCCTGGAAGAGAAGGCGGTATGGAGGGTACTATCATCCGCGAAGCTGTGTACTGGACATGGAGTTGCTTCCAACAAATCGTTGATATGGAGTAGAAATAGTGTTGGTGCTAGAATTGATCCTTGCGAAACACCAGCATTCATGAAGAGAGAGTCAGATGAAACTCCATCGACCACTACATGGGGAGACCTGTTTGAGAGAGAACTAGCTAGCAGAGAACATAGCTGGGGAAACAAGCCATAAGATGGAGGCTTGGCGAGGAGTCCGTGGTGCCAGACTCGATCGAATGCCTTGGAGATATCAAGTGCCACGGCTAAGGTTTCACCATACTTTCCAATAGATTGCTGCCATATATGTGAGACGTAAGCGAGCAGGTCACCAGTTGATCTCTGATGACGGAAGCCATATTGCCTATCGTTGATAATACCATATAGTTCTAGGTATTTCATGAGCTCGATGTTGATAGCTCCCTTCATGACTCTCAATAAACTGATTGCACTTTACTAAAGAAACGGAGAGATATTAACGTTTGACAAGTGACGAATAATTGACGATTGACAGATGAAATCCTCAATAATAAATACACCTCATTATAGTTTAGTATTGGAATTATAAATATCTCAGTCAAGTATTTTTGTTTTGATCAGGGAAGCCTTCAAGATTCAAATACTTGCTTGATCTGAAATTGTTCAGCTTCATTTGATTATCAAGTCAAACACAGTGTAGTATGGGGAGGAATAAAAATAATCACTTTTATCATTGTTGATATGCTCACTAACCTAACATTTTCCACGTCTTGTTCCTATAGCTGGCACTGGCGCGGTATTTGCCATTTAGAGCACCTGGTCCATACACAAATATAATATGTCACTCTGTGGTTGTATTTATATTGAAACTACAATTCGAACATCCTAGAAAACCTAACCTGCTGTTAATGCAGGTAGAATATTCTCACCACATGGATTATTTGTCAATATTTGTTGCATTGCATACATATGGCACGGCATTGGTGGTTACTTCACATGTTTATTTGAGTTAATTTTTTCGGTTGCAGAAAATATAGCATGTTTCTTTCGGATCAAAAGTGACTTTGTTCGACTCGCAAATTTTGCTTTCGCTCGGCTTCGCTAAACGCTCCGCCTCGCAAATGCTAAATTCGCTCGTCAAACAAAGTGTCACTTTTGATCCTAATGAAACAATCTACCTACTATTATGGAAACTTCAATTTTTTGAAACGACAAAACGAATCATCCTCTGTAGTTTCGTACCGTAGTCAGGAAACACCTTGTATACATGTTTGCCTCGAGAAAAATAAGTGGAAGTTGTATACCTACGCAAAATATGATTATGAATAAAATGTTTGGTGAATTTTTTATAGGGTTATAAAAAGCCGAGGGTTTATATCGCTACACAAGGACCAAAAAACTCAACTTTGGCTGATTTTTGGAGAATGATATGGCAAGAGAATGTGAAAAATATTGTCATGCTGGCTAGTATAATGGAAAATGGAAAGGTACATCTTCAAGAACATTCTGATTTCAAATAAAAAATAATTCGAAAAACTAATGCTGAATAGAAATTGAATGGAATGAAAGTATTCATAAAAACATTGTATCGCACGACTGTTGTATAAAATATTCATAATACATGTACAAGCTGAACGGTAGCTATTATTCACACCAGTGAATAATAGCAGTGAATATGACCATAATTCACTGGTCTAGAGTTCCTAAGGTACGCGACATAATATATTAGGAACTTTATCTACAACTATGGAGTCATTCATAACATTGCTAACTCGATTTTCAACATTTAATGACAGACATTATTGTGATGAATCGAGTAATATGAAAGTAAAAATGACAGTAGCATGGCGAAATAATCTGACATCCCATCGTCATGTCAAATTCAACTAGGTAAGTATTCGTTCTACTAGTTCTACTAAAGCACGCTACCACAGATTAACAAACTGATTTGTGAAATACACGCAAATTCAAAAGACTCACCTCACATGGTTCTCATAGTTTTGATCACCTTAATTCTACAAATACACGGAAAAATGAGAATTCACTGTTTTTCATTCTCAACAGTGACTAACATCATGAGTAACCATAACCATAAAATAGGACTTGACACTTGACAGTTGCAAATTGGCTCACACTTATGTGCAGGCCTTTCGAATAAATTAGTACAGACCAATCAGAACCATGGAACTTCATTGTTGATAACTAGCGTCTAGAGACAGGGTATTTAAATTAATCATCGCGATGGGGGAATGCTATAGCGGAAGCAAGTTGATGAATGATCTGCAATAGTATGATTCATTTTACAACTGAAAAGTGAAATGGCATATAATACCTGGTAAGATTGACTGATATGTGATTGCACGACTCTTTTCCTGTTAATAAAAATCAGATCCAACATTGTTCATCATATTTTTACAATCAAAATTATTGAAATAGGTTATGAGCTGTTCGTTGATTGAAAATTTTGTCAATAAGTATTCGACGAAATCAATGAGTATTCCAAATCAGATTCAGTGATTTTGCAATATAATAATAACCTTCATTATTTCCAAAGATATATTTCTGAACTCTCTGAGTTGCTTTGATATTCGAATAGTTGTAGATAAAGTATAGTATTCTACTCGTACATAATGACTATTACCCACTCAGATGATTACAGCACTCGCCTTCGGCTCGTACTGCAACTTTCATCTTCGTTTTGCTTGAGAAATTACAATAGTCGTGGAAAAATAATTAATATAACAGGTATCTTAAATTTTTAGTTTCCTTAATGTCAAATAAGTTGTGATAAAACAGTTGTAAAAAATAGATTTATATAACAAAAACAATAGTAGTCGTAGACAGCTTGATCTTCGTGAATAATAGCCCTCCTTATACATATACTCGAATTATTGAATTGAATAATATACTATTGTATGACAGATGAATAAGAGTTCAACTTAAGCAGAGGCAGGCGCGGTCCGAGGTGGGTGGTTACAAGGATTATGACCACCTCCCAGAAATCTGCCAGAATTTTACGGCTCATGGATATTTCGAATGAACTATCAACTAATTCATCAACTTCTGTATATACAATGTACAGGGCTAGTTTTAGTAATGTGAACCCCCCTCTATCTTTTTTGTTTTCCACCCATTAAAAAAATTTCACGACTGAGTTTATACAATTTTTCGCACAGATTTTACTCATTTTGACGATGATGCATTATCTATTCAAATATACAGGGTATACAGAAATAAATATATTTTTCAAATGAAATGCCCTGTATATTTCGATAATTTTGAATTCTCTGAATCATTCTGATTTCAAACATATACAAAGAATAAGGATCTTCATCTATCAAAATATTAGGCGCATTCCATATGAAGAAATCAATATATTTTTGTATACCCTGTAAGAGATTGCAACACTCTCTCAATATGATTGAAACCAATATGGAATATCGTGAAAAAATCAGTTTTGTATGAATAGAAAACAAAGAAGATGAAGGGGGGTTCACATTAATAAAAATGGCCCTGTACAATATGGTATCAAAAATTCGTGTCACGTAAATAACTTCGCAAACGATAAGATTTCTACGAAATTCTTGATCACACGAAATGTTTCGCTAACACAGTAGCTTGTTCAGGTGAAATACTGCGGTAAGATAATAGCTATTTATGTATCAAGGGAGCCAAGGTATCCATTTCCTCCCGCGTGTGAAGATTGACGCGTAGCGGAGGGCATTAAACACACATGAGAGGAAATTAACCTTTGGTCCCAAAATATACAGGGTGTCTCATAAGTCGAGGATCAAAAGGAGTGGGGTGGTAGGGGGGGGGTCATTTCAAATCAAACTAACCGTATATATGTGATTATTCAATTGTTGATGGTTCAAAAGTTATTAATGTTTTTTCATTTCTATAAATAGAATCAATAACGATGAAACTAAATCAAATTTGTGATCTTTTCTATCACAAATTCCATCCACATAGATGCACCTCTCTAACTTCTTATCGATTACCTGAGAAAAATGTTTTTTTCCTTGAATTTTGTCATCGAATAAATATTTAAGTCGAGTATCATTGAGAACTGACAATGTATTACAGAGACGAAAAGGTTGATATTATGTTATTGATATTTAGGGAGTGCAGAAGGAATTTTAGACAGGATTAGTCATTATATATCGAAAGATTTCCAGATAGACGCACCTTGCGCCAAATAATTATTCTGCCAAAATAGAACAGCAGTTCCGAAAAGATGTCAAGAATGAATAATTGTCAAACTAGACATTTTGTGTGAACGCCTACTAAGCGAAATGATACTGGAAATACACTACTTTAGACTTACGAACAAATGTGTTAGGACGATACATCAATTATTACAACAATTCCAGTTCCATATATCCAAAGGGACAATCATATTATGGTTATATGGCAAAAATGAAAGACAAATAGTTTAATCTTTGGAAGAAGTCCATGTTAACTCAAATAGTTTCTTCACAAGTAGCCAAATGGAAAAAACTGAGATTCTATCTTAGTTCTCTCAATATAGTGAGTTATTTTCGGATAATTTTTTTAAACTCAATGAGATTATTGGCAATCTTCTGGGGCCGATTAGGATATGGAAAATATTCTGATAATATCGTCTGAGTAATGATCTTTGGATTTCTAAGCCTATCAATCATCAAAATGTCATTGCATTCGGGCCACAGCCAACTTCATGTATTTCAATAAAATGCAATTTAACACCCAATTGATGAACAAATATCAAATTGTGATAAATTGTTGAACAGAGAAATTTAAGGCGAATAAGAAAGGCTACAGAAATATATAGGGTGCTATTTGGAAAAACAAAGTTGGGTCTATTTCTGATCAAACAGGTGGTTAAATAAAATTGTTATTGGGCTCTAGAGAAACGCCATCATCGATAATACAACCCTTGTGAATTTCAAACTTTTCGATAACTCGAGTCAGATTTCAAAATTGTATAACATATGGGGTTATTCAAAACTGCCTTTTTGTGATTAATTTTTGTCGAATGGGTCGCATTTTTCAGAAAAATTGAATAACTTTTGAACCATCAACAATTGGATAACAACATATACCGTTAGTTTGATTACAAATGACCCCACGTACCACCCTAGTTACAGTCAGTATTTGACAGGTGACACGTCTCTCACATTAGTTGCGTTTTATTTGTTCCCTTCTGGTAGCGGTGGTGGAAACAGAATGACGTTCACAAATAAAACGAGAAACTTCACAACCTTGCTTGAGAGAATTTACTTAAGAGGTTATATTTGTATATGCATGGGGCATCCAAATAATTTTATGATATTAGTAATAGTTAAGAATCTAGGAAATGAATCAACTAATACTTGGAGCAGTGATTGTGGTGATTGAAGAAACTTCTCTGAGGTCGACAGAATTCATTTCATCTGGGAATGAACATATGAAATCTGTCTTACTTGAAAGAATCATAAACTAGTGAAACTCACGCTGAAAATGTCTTCTAAATGTCTTTCACTTTCAAAAAGGTTCGTTTTTTCTTGGTTTTTCCTCAATCTTATTCGATTTTTTGACACCTGTCAACAGTCATTCCACATCATTCCTTGTAGTGAGACGGAATGGAAAGTAGCAACCGGAATCGGAAAAGTTGCAGATAAAACGACACATCAAACTGATTCCGGTGGCGGAATCGGATAAATAAAACGCAACTATTGAATTTGTTCATTGTATAATTGCAGTTTATTATTGCACAGTAGTGATGGAGGCACTGATTAGGTACTTGGGTAGCACATATCTTATACGTACAATATCACTACCAAAAAGCCAATTCATTTTACCTTCCACGGGCGGCAATATTTTTTTTATCCCGTGGGAGTGAATTGACAGGTTTGTGCCCTCAAATGAGGGAGCAGAAGCTTACTTTCGATGCAGTGAGTAGATCAAATAAACTTACATGCATTTGTCTAACTTTTATATCATACTTTCACAACATAATGGATTGAAATACATGTGGAAAGGTTCGATAAACCTCTATTTTCGGAAAGTACGAACAATATCTACATTAAATACGGTGTACCGGATCAACTTAAAAGAACAAAATAATACCTACTAAGAAGACAAATTCAACAGAGGTGGATTATAATGAGGTGTATTTGATTGTTAAGGGATATATTGAAATTTTGCGTTCGTTGATTTCAAATGACTCCAAATTATTGAGTATTATTCCTTTATTTTCTACGTGCAAAATCTCGAGATTATCATCAAAACTATGGTTTTCTAATAATATATGGTTGGCGTGTGTTACATTTGGTTTCTTCTTCAATAAATTCATATTATGTTCATGAATGCGGTGATTAAACGTTCGACCTGTCTGACCGATACCTGAAGAAGCTACTGTGTTAGCGAAACATGTCATGTGGTTGTGAATTTTGTGGATATCTTATCGTTTGTGAAGTTTTTAACATTCAATATATATTTCCATCAAGAAACGGCCAAGTTAATTAAATATTATCGTAATCTTTGATGCGCCTAAAACTTTGCCAAGAGGAAGAATATCAAGAGAGGCTAATGCGATTAGCTCTTTCAAATATACATCTTGAGATCTCCTCTAACGCCTTGAAGATAATCAACCGATTTTCCAAAATCCATTTCCTTTTAGTTTGTATCTGAGGATTCTGTTAACTCGTCCTTTATCATGAATAGATGTTTCCATACTCTACACCAGCGGTCGGCAACCTTTTGGCAGGCAAGGGCCACATATAGTGGCGAATAGAATTGAAGCTGGGCCGTACTTGTGCATAATTCTGATCATATATAGGTACTTGTGATATTGAAAATACAGAAATATTTCATTAGAAATTCATTGAACATGTTAACGAGTTATGCGAGGAGTTGAAACTGTTAGGTATTCTACAAAAATTAGTGTGACGTTTGAGGCTGTATTTGAGTGGCTATTTGTTATATGTTAGCTTCCATCAGGTTTGTAGTTGTAATCCGTAGAATACCTCTCAAATATCCATCTGTGAGACAAGAAGCATATTAATTTTTTCTGTAATTTAGAATCGAAAAGGTTTTTTCGCATAAGTAAGTACTACCAAAAATCGTAATCAGTTGCAGAGGAAATCTTTTCAATTCACGACGTTCAATTATTTTTTGCCATGCTAGAACTTTGGAACATGAAGTTTCCTGGTGGATAATGCAATGAAAAAATGATAGGATATCGCATTCTATCTCTGCCATTTTAGTTTTTATTTTATCCACCAGGCACTTGTTTTGACCACTAATGTTTCTGCCTCCGTCAGTTGTTACACACCAACTTTTTCCATGGTAATTGCATTGATACTAACGCTTGTTCTGATTGTCGAAATAGATCATCCCCTGTAGTCGTTCCATTCAAACTACATAGCTGTAAAAGTTCCTCACATAAATTAAAGTTGTCATCGATTCCACGAACAAATATTAGAAGCTGGGCAGTCTCTGAATCGACGGTACTTTCATCGGTAGCTATTGAGAACCATTCAAATAATTGTACGTTTTCTCGAAGTTGCTCGAATAAATTATCACCCAAATCTTCAGTAGGCCGGATACAATTCCTAGCAGATAAACTTATATTTTCAGATTTCTTTACACTACTACACTGCTATACACTATATATTATTATGTTTTATTTGTTTTGCTAGTTTGGTCAGAGGTCGTACGGACAAGGGGGCAGGCCACCAATATATACCGTGTTTATCATAAGGGCACACGGGACCCGTGTCCAGGGGGCTCCAAAGGACCGACTATTTCTCTCACATTTATATTTTTGACGAGCACAGTACCTATAACCAACAACAGGAAAGAATATTATATGAAATGAATACGAATTCGAATTCATTGAAGACAACACAAAAAAATTACCCAAACCTTTATATAACAATTTATTAAATCCATTGATTTTTTTCCAATGGATGATTTCATAGGGCATTCATTATTTACAGAAAAAAGTAGAGAAATATTGGCCTGACATCAACGAGACTACAAACTATGGCGGAGTTAAGGTCAAATTTGTGTCAGCAAAGGTGTTCGCCAATTTTGACTTACGTATATTCACTGTCATCTATAGAAAGGAGCAACGCGAGGTCAGTAGAAAAGAAGTATTAGGTTCTTCTATTCTTCAAAAGTCGAATGATTTTCGACATTCTTTGTTTTGATTCATGCTATCAGAGTTTGACGTTACTATCATATTATAAGTGAATAATAGTTTTCAATTTTTATGGAGTTCATCATTCGTACTTTTCCTCAGAACATCTTAAGAGGCGTCATCTGATAGCTAATGATTCAGGAGAGAATGTGCTGAATGACAATAAAGAATTTTATCTCTATCAAATTGAAGTTGTACCTCTTTCTTGATTCATCAACACACCACGGAAAGTGATTCAATATAATATGAGTACCTTGTTGCCAACTATTTTTCTCTGTCTTTTTTTAAGTTGGAGCAGTTACATTTCACTACTTGGCCGGATCATGGGGTGCCACTTTATCCACAAAGTCTGGTACCATTTCTTCAAAGAATGTTGAAAATTCCTTATAACCCATTGTCTCCGATTTTAGTGCATTGTAGGTGAGTAAGTTGAATACATAATAGAAGAGATCTCAAAAATATATTGCATTGGTTTTAACAATACCAAACCTAATAACAGCATCAAACGGTACACGCGCTATCTAGTTTCACCAAGAGTACCTTTTTATGTATGAAATTGAATGATTTTTGAGTTAACATAACATGCTAACTATGAAAAATGTGACTCCAGAGAAGAAATGTTTGAAACTACTCGGTACGAAGCGTGTATAACTAGCGCCCTCTTTGAGATTCAGATTCAGATGTTAAAACAAATTCTCTCGATGTGTGAGCTTTCAAAAAGTATTTATACACAATTTTATGATAATGTTGCCAGTAGTCATCGTATAACATTGTGTATGCAAATTCTTCGTATCTCGAATTGAGGATGCCGTTACGAAAATTCTTTACTGCGCAAACTTATTTTGCAGTGTTCTAATGATCCAAAGTAACAGGCCCATCTTTTTAAACACCTTGTATTTGAGAAGAAAATTAATTGATAAGAACTATTGTCCGCTTCTTGTTGGAACTGACATTCAGAAACCATACTTGCATCTCGATATATAACAATATTATAAAATATAAAGGGAAGTTGTCACCCTTCGTAAAGTTTTTACTCTTCAGCACACAAGTTGCGAAGAGGAATTCCAAAAGTTTAGAAATGAGTATAATGTGTACTAAATATAGCTTCAAAATTTTGATTGGTATAAATCATTTGGAATTCTTATTTTCAACTCATGAAGAATGTCTTTAAAAATCTGGAGAATGTACGAATGTAGCCCTTGAAGAGGGTACTTTAATACACTGTATGGGGCACATTTGGACATGAGCTCAAAGCTGTAAACTACCGTACCGTATATTTTAATTCCATATCGAAATGAAAAAACCAAAACAAGTGATATGAGAGAACAAGAAAATGAAAGTTGCGGATTTTGAATATTACTGCACTTTCTTAGAAGTTAGGTTGCTTGGAAAATTTTCTATGTCATACGTTCTAGCTGTAGCAGATGGAGTAGTATAGGATTTGGTAATCCTATCAAAACCACATCTGCTATGGAAACTATAAATTCATCTTTAAGATTTGGGAACACAAAAGTCCATGAACTAGATTTCACGTACGAGTCTGCCCCTATAGATATTATAGGGGAAGATCCCATGAACGCCAGACCTTCGTTATTTAAAAGCTGAAAGTGTCTCAGCGCATGCTCTCAACAGGTAAGAACGATGGGCAAATATGGAGTTTAGGTCATGGTGCCTTTTCGAGGTTACAGGGAGCGACGGTGCTAATAATACCAACTTTTTATTTATGTACCTATGATAAATTGATATTCATCATACAGGCCGAAAGAAATTCTGAATTGATAAAACCTAATAACGAATCTGCGATTAAGGTCTATAAAAATAACAAGTTTCCATCGTTCAAGTTTGAACCCCTTCATTTGGTTGAAGTATTGAAAAGGAATATTCTCAGATTCAATTATCTGAACATAAAAAATTGATATATAAAGAAATACATTGAGAATTCACGTTCTCTATGTGATGAAAATATCAATTCATTCTCGGTTTATTCAACAAAAAACAACTACTTTCCTGGCTCGTCGTGGCATATAGCCAGGACAGTAGTTGTTTTCGGTTGAATAAACCGAGATAGAATTGATATTTTCATCACATATAAAACGTGAATTCACAATGTATTTCTTTACATAAATAATCATATCTGAGGATATTCCTTTTCAATAATGCCAACTTACTTTTGTCATTTATGAAGGGTATTTTTTTAACATTTCATTCGGGATAATATTAGAAACCACGTCATCCATTGTCAGATATGTTACCATGAAGCCTAACCCTTGCCAGACACCCTTAAACCTTGATGAAATGATACTTAACCCTCGTTGAAGTATAAAATCTGAATTTTATACGTGTTACGTGGGTAACAATAAATAGACAGTTGTAACTGTCTAAATAGACAGTTGTAACTGTCTAAATAGACACTTGCAAATGTCTAAATAGATATCTATAGACTAGTGAATACTGACTCCCCTGTCCTCTGTCCGACCTACAATAACAGTACAACATAGGACAAATAAAAACACGTGCTGATAACTATAATTAACTAATACGAGCTGTGTGTATTGCGTGTATAACGATGGTGGTAGTTTTTCTATAGTAAAAGTAAAATGGATGATGGATTAATTAGATTTTATTTCTGTTTGGGTTTCCAACAAACTGAAATTTTGGCCAGTTTGGCTCTCAATCATGATATCAACATTAGTTTAAGCACTCTCAAACGAAAATCATACAAATTGGGATTGTTCAGAAGAAAGAATTTCACGGACATCCTAGAAATTCAACAATTCATTATTTAGACAGTTACAACTGTCTACTTAGACAGTTAGAACTGTCTATTTCGACAGTTGCAACTGTCTATTTGAAAAAAACGTAACGTGAGCCTTCTATACACGCTTTTGTAAGATACAGTGCTCTCGTAAAGTACTGAATGAATTAATGTACAGTCAAACTATGGATTTCTGAAGAATCTCTTGGAATAGGGCGACTTTTAATTCCAATTTGCCACATTCTTACGGTGTTATCGAAATCGAATATACAATAAAGGAATCCATACGTTGGAATTATCTTGTCCGCGTCAATTATTTCAAATGGAACACCCTATATATATTATTCAATTCTTGGAATCTCCATGGGAAGCTGAATTCAAACATACAAGGTGTTCATTTCAGGACTTCCCATCCCAATTTTCTAGAAATGTGTGTATATTTTTTAAAAATCCCGAGACACGTTATTAAATATATCGAAGGAGACAAGTTTTCATCAGAAAATTAACGCGCCCCCTTCCATCCTACTGCAAAATATCACGGAGAGATATCGAGTTATATCTCATTTTGAAGGCGTTTCCAATCTCTTCACGGTTGGTACTCCTTTTTTTTAATTCTTCCATCCGTTGTCGAGATATTTAGGCATTCTGTTTGATGCTGCGTACCATTGAAATAAAAACACTCTAACTGTTTTTTTCTCCTGTTTACTTCCAATGTGCCTTGAAAGATATGCAAAAAAGTGTACTTGTTGAAATAAATAAAAGACATATTGATTAGTTTACTATAATTATCAGTTGTGTGATAGTTGTGATTTGATAAGGCACTGTAGTAAAAATGGTTTACACTGTAGCTGAAAATGTCGAAATATTGTTCTTTTACGGCGCCCAAATTCGATGTGCTCGACGAACTGCCACAATGTTCAACGAGGGGCACCCCAGATAAGATTAGCTCTCATCGTTATGTTCTCAATCTGATCGCCAAATTTAGGGGCACCCCAGATGAGATTAGCTCTCATCGTTATGTTCTCAATCTGATCGCCAAATTTACTCAGACAGGATCTGTTGCAAATTCAAAACATAATCAGCCAAGAGTTCTGACTGAAGCCTCCAAGTTGAAGTATCACGCTATTGTATGAGTCCTACTACTTCGATCGTTACGTACCATTCCTACTGCAACTGATGGAGTTTGCGTAGACTCGGCTCGGTGCTCTGTCCACAAAAATTACTAAAATTAATGATTTCTAATAACCATATGAAATGAAAATCTACCAAGAGTTGAGTGAAGACGTCTTTGACAGACGAATTGAGTTTTGTAAGCAGATGACACAATTATTTATTACAATATAGCATATATTTTTGAATATCTGCTTCTCTTATGATTGTTCTTTTTATTTGAATGGATATGTCAATAATTATTATTGTAGATATTGGAACAATGAGAATGACCATGTGTTATCACAATATCCCCTAAAACTAAATGTATGGACTGGTGTACTAGGAAATCAAGTAATTGGTCCATTGTTCATCAATGGAAATCTTAATGGTGAGGTGTACTTGAATATGCTAGAAAATTCGATGAATCCGCTAATTACTGAAGCACTTGAAAATCAACTAAATAGATAAAGATGGAAACACCTTTCTTGATGAAAACTAGTTGAATTTTCAACAAGATGGAGCTCCCCCATTATGTGCTTCCGGTCCGTCAATGGTTACATAACGTATTTCCTGGTAGATAGTTAGGGCGAAGAGGACCTATATAGGTCAGCCAGGTCACCGGATTCAGCACCATGTGATTTTTTTCTATTGGGACAATTGGAATCAGTTGTTTACACACTCCCGCTGCTATATTCACAAGAGCTCCAACAAAGGATCACTGCAGAATGTCAAGCACTTCGACCAGAAATGTTTGAAAGTGTGCGTCACGCATTTGAACAGCGATTATACCATTGCTTGGGCAATAATGGACAACATTTTGAGCAATTACTGAAGTGACAGTAGTGTGAAATATTGATATTCAGGTTTGAAGTAGAAGGAATGCGAATAAACAGTTACAGTTTTTATTTCAATGGTATAAACGCATCAGAAAACTGATTTTCCTGAATATCTCGGCAGCGGATCGATCAATTTTGATAAAAGGAACACTGACGTGTAGAGATTACAAAGACCTTCAAGACCTTCAAAATGAGGTATGACTCGATACCTTTTCGCATTAGAGATTTTGCAGTTGGTAGCTCCGCCTTGCAAGTGATGAAAGGGGCGCGTTCATTTCCTGATGAGAACTTGTCCCCTTCGATACATTTTGTTGACGTTTCTCGGTATGTTGTGAAAACATACACAAATTTCTAGAAAATTAAGGTGAGAAGTCCTGGAATAAACACCCTGTATATTACACATAGGGTTTGTATACAGCAGTGAGTCAGTTAAATCAAGGATTTTCGTAAATTAGTGGATACATTTATTTCTAGCCACACTATGCATTTCTTTGGAATCTGCTGAAACAGGTCGAATTTTATTTAAATTTCTCCACATTTGTGAGGGAGAATTAGATATACAGGGTTATCCACGTCTGATTCATGACGGCCGCGATGATTTTTTCAAATGGAACATCCTATATACTATTCAATTTTTGGAATCTATATGAAAAGCTGGATACCAAAATACATCACACATAAGATTTGTATACAGTGCTCCTGTTGACTTCCGTGTCCTTTTAAAGTAGGTGAAAAATTCGGAAAAGATTGAAGAAATGATGTTTGGAAAATGAAGCTCGAAGCTGTCGAAGTTTATTATCATTTGGCTTTCTTTCGAATAAATTAAATTCATCACGAATTTATCCACTATACTTTGAGAATTGTTACATTAAATTGAATTGTTACATCATCTCACTAATTTAGCTAAGTAGCTATAGTTGTAGTATAGACTTTCGATTCAAAAGAATTATATTATATTTTTGTTACTAAGGGCGGCCTTGTAATAGGATATCATATGCTATCTGTTGGGCAGCCAAAATACTAAATGAATAAATAAATAAATAAATAAAGAGGGCACTGAATTCAACGGACGCACTGTTTACAAACCCTATGAATGACATGATAATTCCAACATGGATCACCCTGTATATCTGATTTCACCGTAAGAATGTAGCATATTGGAATTGAAAATCGATCTGTTTCCAGAGATTCTTCAGAAATTGATAGTTTGACTAAAAATCAATTTATTCAGTACTTCACGAAAGCACTGTATGTGTCTGGCTAGGGCTTAGCACCACCAGAACGGTCTGGCTACTGAGGAAACATCTTGTTATTGTTACCCAAGTAACATGTATAAAATTCAGCATTAATACTCTAACGAAAGTTAAGCTAAAATTCATCAAGGTTCAAGGTTGTCTGGCAAGGGTAGGCACCATAGAAACGTGTCTGGCAATGGATGACGTGGTTTCTAATATTATCCCGAATAAGATATATAAAAATTACCCTCTATAGTATGACGAAAGTAAGTTGGTTTTTTTTGGTCGAGAAGAAAATATACGCTCACCATCCCGACAAGGAAAGAATGGGAGCGCAATGAGGTTAACTTCATACCAAACAGTCTGATTTGTTATAAAGACGGATCGCGTATGACAGATAAAGCGGTAACGGGAATCTATCTGGAAGGACGCGGAGTGCAAGAGAGTTTTGTTCTCGGGAAGTATCCAACGGTATTCCAGACAGAGGTATTCGCAATCCAGGCGGTAGCAACGCTGAAAGAAGCAATAGAGGGACCGGAACATATATATATAATTATATATACGTATATAAATTCAATAGTCAGGCAGCACTTAAGGCAATATGCTCTCCCAGAACTAGATCAGCTGTAGGTCAGGAGTGCAGAGATGCCCTTGAAGAACTTATTGCAAGAAACAAGGAGGTAACACTGATGTGGGGCCCGGGACATAGGGGAATTCAACCCCTCACAAGAAGAGAAGTGGCTGCTGAGCAAAAGTCGACAAGGAGTCAAACTTCTATTGAAGTCCTAACCGGTCACTGCAAACTCAGCAGACACCTCTCGATAATGGGTATAGTAGAGAACCCAACATGCCAGAGATGCGGGGAAGAACAAATTTTAAAACACAAATTTTTTTAGAAGAAGAAACATCTTTTCACTTCCTAGGAAAATGTGAAGCGTTCAGCAGACTAAGATTCAACATCTTTGGAACTCAAACCACTCTTAGAGAAGAGATGAACTCTCTCGAGTGAGCGGACACCCTAGCTATCATCAGAAGGTCTAGAAGGTTCGTCGAAGTAGCCGAGTAACAGAGGTAAGGTGTAGAAGTTGCCGGGATCGGCAAAGAGGGCCAAGAGTATTTGCCTGGCTTGAGCCACCCCATCATTATTACTACCACTACTACTAATATGTTGATATTTTCAGCACCTTCGCTCCCTGTAACCTCCAAAAAGCACCACGACCTAAACTCCATATTTGCTCATCGTTCTTAGTACCTGTGTTGAAGGCATGCGCTGAGAAACTTCCAGCTTTTATGAAATAACGAGGGTCTGGCGTTCATGCAATCTTGGACTATTATGTATGAATCTGCACCAACAACAAATAAATCTTCATCTCGAAAAACGACGGTTTCACATAGGTTGAAATGATCAGCAATTACGACGAAATACTTATACAGTTAATTCATTCATTCGAAAGCAAATATTTGAGATAGTGAACACTATTCGTAAGGGTGTAAAAGGCCTGATGCTGAATAAGTAATAGCTATTTATATATCAATGTAGTAAAGGTATCCATTTCCTTCCGCGTGTGAAGTGTGATAAACAAGTTGAAAAAATAGCTCAATATGCTGATTGATGCCAAAAATTAAGCAGTAATGCAATTATTTGTCAGTTCGTGACCAACCTTTTTTTCAGTGCCGGCGTCGGCCGCACAGGCACCATCATTCTGTGCGACATTTGTCTGCGCATGGCTGCTGGCGAGAACGCCATGGATTTCTTAGCCAACGTAGAAAATCTGCGAGAGCAGCGTGCAAATATGGTCGACAATGCGGAACAGTATAAATTGGCTCATCTGGTGGTGCTAGAATGCCTATTTGGCATGCGCACCGCAGTACCATGTTCCAAGGTGAGGATTTCGTAGTATAGTTTATGCATAGTCAGTTGGCAAAACACATCACCGGCAAGCCTGTCGGTCTATTTGAAAGTTCAAAGAGTGCGACAGGGCGGCTTGACATTTGTTCAACTGATTTTGCATAAACTTCACTTTCTGATTCATCGAAAACTTTCAACTGCGCGAGTTATGGAATTCGGCTGCGCAAGCTCGAACGTTATTGCTCTAGAAAAAATGTACTGTCCTATACATCTGATTATAGAACCAAAGTTGTTTGCCTTTCTAGTGACCTATTTTAACCTCTGCTAATTCTTTATGCAGTGCTTCAAAGACCATAATGACCTAGCGACGGCCAGACACTTACTATGTGTGTTATAGGCAATGAACTCAATATGGACAATTGAATTCCTTGGTTTATAGGTAACTTATTCGGTGAGAATGGTTTGGGGGTTACGAATCTTCAATACCGGAGCTTCCAACAGATGCCGGGTGTTGAAATACATCATTTCAGCAAAGCTGATCATTTTATATCTTCAATTAGACCCTACCATGGAGTAGAATACACAATTGCCATACACTTTCCACGGGGTGCTACCCCTGCCAGACAACATTAAAAATCGTGAAAATATCTTGTCATTTACGTCATAGCAACAAAGCTGCATTTTATATATTATTATGTTATAAAGAAGGTCATTCCACATCATCATTCAAACAGCCAGACACTTCCGATGGGGCAGACATGCTGCCAGACACCTCTGAACGTCAACCGTGAGTGCAAGCGAAAGCGCATCCTGCGTAGTGTTGCCGTTTTATTTATAATTATACAAATTGCATGTATAATTCGGAGATCTGTGTATAATCGTATCCTTCCTATCGATTTAATGTAAGTATAATTGTGTATAAAATCTGCAGAAACCAATTCTGTTGAATGTAGAAATAACATTTTCGGTCATGGATTGTATAGAAAAAACATTCTGTAATTTGTTCAATTTAATGTAACAGTGACTGTGTGCTGCAACCGCTGGACACAGTACTGAAGAAATGCAAATGTTTCAAGGAATACGTCATACGTCAAACGATTTGTTTTGTTATCATTTTATCATTTCATTCTTCATAAAAATTATTGACATACTCCATAATCATAATCCTGAATGGATAACTGGCTCGATAATTATGCTAGTGCTAGCACTAGTGGCATATATACGGGGTGTCCGGAAATTATGCGCAAAAAATTAAGGGGGTGATTCTGCAGGAGGAAACATGAGATTCATTTTATATATACTCGGGTCCGGAAATGCATATAGTTTTCAAGATACAGTGTCGAACTTTTTAGAAAAAATCGGTTATTTATGAATATCTCAAATATCCTTTCACCGATTCTCTCTAAATTGGGCAATGATTTTTTTTGTCATGAGAGGGTGATAGCCATAATAAATTTCATAATTCCGATTGGATTATCGCTATATCAGCCCCTTATGACAAGAAATATCATTGCCGAATTTCAAGAAAATCGGTGGAAGGACATTTGAGATATTCATAAAAAACCGAACTTCTTTAAAAATTTTTACACACTGTATGTTGAAAACTATGTATTTCCGGACCCACGAACATATAAAATGGAATTCTTATTTTATCATGTAGAATCACCTCCTTGATTTCTTGCGCCTAATTTCCGGACACCCTGTATGTTTCATAAATAGGTATTATTCGAATACATTAAAACAATTATCTCCAAACAGCTGAGGTTATTATCAGCAATATCATGATTGTCTATTACAATTCTGAATGGAAATACGTATAATCAGTTATTTTCTAACCAAAATTGCTCTTAATCGTTGGTGTATAACATTTGAATATATATAAATAATTGTGTATAATTCTTTATAATTTGGGTCGGCGCCATATATAGTATGGTCAAAAGTTTGTGACAACACTGATCCTGCGTGTCCGCGAGTGCGAGAGCATTGTGGCACCAGCTAAAAAGCATTCCGAGTCGGGTTCATACAGTAAGAGAAAAAATAATTGATAGATAGCAGAATTTTTTTCATCAATATAATAATTATGAGTGTATGAGTACAAGTATTGATGAAATTGTATGTATATGAGGGGAAGTATCGACGACGACGGAAATATGTGCTAACGAGTACTCAACATGGTTAAAATATACTATGGTGTGCTACTCAGTACTCACGAGACCAATATTCGTCTATTCTGCTTCTTTTACATCACTGCGAGCCCCTCACTGTCATCATTATTTGAACTTTTGTAATTTTCAAAAAATCATTCAGAACAAACTGTAAAACAGTTCAATTTGTAACATCATAAACTGGTAATAATGCCGATATTGTGCCATTTCTGATCGAATACGAATAGAAGCACTATAAGAGGACTTAAGTATACATTCAATCTTTCTGCTTCCCGAAAAACGATGAGTTGTCAAAATAATAGATAGAATGCTTGCTGTCAGATAGAGATAACATCAATTCAAAGAATGGTTGGTATAATATAATCCCTTCCAACATTCCGAAATGTTCACTATCAACATGCAACACATTCTTCATACAATAGCAACTATCAGTTCAAAACATTCCTACCAAGTTGTTTTCAAACAAGTTTGAAATATCAATCAATGGGCGAACTTCGTTTTACCTAAATATCACAGAAATATAAAAGAGGAGGCCATTTCAACTGGATGAGTATATATCTTCCTGTTGATAATAGTTTGATATACAAGACACGACAACTCAAACTGCGAAACGTTAATGAGGAGAAGAAAATACAACAAGACTATTCACATTGTCTGGCTGCAGTGACGCAATTAGGAGGGGGCTAGTTGGGTCGCAATTAGCCCCACAGAATAAATCAATAAATCATGAACAGCCATCGGTATACTATCGGAATACTATCCTGTATGAAACAGGCATCTTTCCTCGTTTATTTGTTGGTATTGGAAGAGATTCTCACCATACCAAATATGTTATCCCAGTCACTCCCATCAACAACAGCAACATTGCATGGGAGGAGCGGTTGGACTAATAAAAGGCGTAGTAACCACTTTAGAAGCAATGCGTTCTGATGACAGTTATGAGCAGATACATGGCAAAATTGGTGACTTTGCGGCTCAGCTGGACGTGACCTTGGAACCTCCATCAGCCAATAGAAAAAAGGAGGTGTCAGTGAAACTAAAGGATTTTGTGGCTGACTCGACAGTTGGAGCTGCATACGGCGCAGATTCTCCAAATGTTGTCGAATATTGGAGAGTCAATGTTTTCTATAGGATTATTGATTCTGTGGTAGGGTTTTTGTAATCAAGATTCTCTGAGGAGAATCTTCGAATCGCGGCAGCTATAGAGAAATTCTTCGCGCTTGACTACGAAGGATCCAAAGATTTCACCAATCATTATGCAGAGTGTTTTGAGCTTGAAAAAAAGTCATAAAGGCTGAAATGACAGTTCTGAAAAATATTTTAGCAAACAAAGGTCAGGAAGCACAATATGACACTCTCAAAAATGAGCTCAGGTTAGAAGTATTTCCATCATTATATGTGCTTTTTCAAGTAGCTATAACATTGCCAGAATCTTGTGCAACGTGTGAAAGGTCATTCTTCATAATCAGATTGATTTTGAATTGGTTATACGAATTTCAATGGGTCAAGACAGATTCTCGTCACTTGGCCTATTGTTTATACAAAAATACAGTTAAATTGACCTCGATACTGTAGTGGATAGATATGCGGCAAAAATAAGAAACAAAAATTTGTCACGTTAGGTAAGTTAGTTTTAATAATTATTCATTTCATTTATAGTTTGTTGATTATATTAAGCTATCTCTTGTTTATAAAATTATTATTCTGTGGTAGTTCCTTGTGATATTTCAGACTCACTGAATCATTTCTTCTGATAACCTGGGGCAGTATCCGTCCCGAAATGTCCGAGCTAGTTGCGCCCCTGTAGATTTGAATGATGATATATGATGATATGATAAAATTCAGCTTTATTGCTATGACGTAAATAATACGATAATTTGAAGATTTTTAAAGTTGTCTGGCAGGGTCAACATCCTGTTGAAAGTGTCTATAAATTTTATATTCCACTTCATGATAGGATCTGATTGAACATATAAAAAAATCTGCTTTGTTGAAATGACGTTTTTGCCAGTAATTTTTTCGTACTTTCAACACCCGGTATCTCTTGAAAGCCCTGGTATATTGAGGATGTTTAACGCCCAAATCGTTTTTACAGAATAAGTTAAAAAAACCTTGAAATAACGTAAGTCTGGCGGTCGCTAGCTCTTGGTCTATCAGGGATCTGTACCGACCATGATATCAAAATCCTTTGGTGTAACAAAGATATGAAGAAACTGATTGTGCCTCGATATATTACGAGACTCCTTCCTTTAGAGCCAGTATTATAAGACCACGTCATCACGGCATCAACCATGAATCTTAATATAACATCTTGCCATCTGCTTGGTATGACATCGAGAGGACAGTTTGACATAGGTAGTGAAATTGTCTCAATAAATACAATGCTTGTTCACAATACTATCAAAAATTCTGTCAAAAATCTTGGACTCGATCAAATTACTTTGAGATAACACCAATCTTCCTGCGTACTCGTGTTCTTGCCGCAAGCAACTCGATCTCCTTGATTACTGACAGAATAAATATCGATATCATTGCAAGCACTCATGGTATCACCTACCCTTAAAGTTAGCTAGTGTTTTCGCGGTAATACAAGTCATCTTTGATTCGTGTGGTCAGGTTATGTAGGATGAGTGAAATAGACTGGGATGTTCTAGAGTCACTGGATGGTATTAGTAGATATAAGAGCTCGGACACAGCTGAACTTCTGTCCTTTTTTATTTTCTATATCACAATGGTTTGAGTGAGTAATAGTTATTTATGTATTAAGGGAATTATGAGGGCCTTAATTACCGATGGCAAAGTTTGCGTCCCGAGGGCTTCTGGCCCGAGGGACAGCAATTGCCTGAGGTTATTGAGGCTCAGTAATTCCCGTGATACATAGATAATTTTATTTCTGACTGATTTCATTCATTAGATACCTTCCCGATTGGTTAGACATGTTTTTCCGTATAGTTTCAATGTCATCAGAACGTCTATTGAGGCTCAGTAATTCCCGTGATACATAGATAATTTTATTTCTGACTGATTTCATTCATTAGATACCTTCCCGATTGGTTAGACATGTTTTTCCGTATAGTTTCAATGTCATCAGAACGTCAGATGATGATCTTGACTACCGCGAATAGGAGATTCCTTATTGCTACGTTATTGCATGGTTGTTGCTATGCATTTCTTATTTAATTTTAGCTAGAGGGAATTATAGCATCTATAACATCCCGAGGGAGTTATGACCCTCATTATAGATATCGTAACTATGACGATATAAGCTTATAATGTCACTGTCAGAAATAAAAGAATTTTCAGTTTCCCTAATAGCCTGCCCTGTCCCTAATAGATTTCCTGTCAAATCAATCATACCAGTAGATGGAGAATAAAATAGTTATTTTTGTATCTAGAGCGCGACATGCTACTTTGGTGATCGAGATCTGATTTTTTTAACGAGGCGTAGCCGAGTTGAAAAAATAGTCGAGATGACCAAAGTATTTCGCGCTCGAGTTGCAAACAACATTTTTTCTACAAACCCCAAAAAATATTGTTCTAAAGTGGAGAAATGCTCAGCTTGATATAAAAAATAGTGTTGAACAGGCTTTAATGGCCTCCCCCTATCCTCCCTAGGTACGAACGAAGTTCCACGAACATAATAGGAATTTCCATTCGTGCGCTCCAAGAGATAAAACGAAGTTATTTATTGAACATTCAGTAATAAATGATTTCGTGGATGTTTGCTCGATTGTGGACCATTAAGTTGAAATATAAATATCTCATATATTTTACATAACAGTGCGCGAAGTAGGTACAGTCATCTTCAGAAAACATGTCGCACATGGACGATGATAGCATTCTCAATAACTCCTGCAATAAGAGCGCTGACACCGTCCAACCGCGACATGATCTCTGAAGACGACTGTACTTCGCGCACTGTTTTACTTCGCGCATTGTTTTGTGCAAGGTATCATTGTAACGTAGGAAACTGAAAAAAAGGGTCACTTCGCAATTTGTTATCAATGCGCGAACCTTGTCATTTTTTGACGTTTGTAGAAAAATAAAGTTTAAACACCCAATTCAATTTATAGCGATACGGCACCTTTCGCAGAACAACAGTTATAAAAATGAAAAAAGTGCATGTAACAACATGTTAATGACAAAATAGACTCATAAATATGGATAAACTTATACGTTGCATTTTACTTGATTTCCTCAGTTTTGATTCCAAATTTCCAATTGATTCATGTAGTTTCGCAATAAATTCCTCTTTTCCCATGATAGTTTTGTATTCCGTGTGATGATAATAGTGGATTCTCCCCTTTCAAATAGTCTGTTTTCTAATGGATGGAACAGCATAAGATTTTCACGAACGGATCTTGAAATCTTCTCTTCGAAAATGGGCCTGAAATATAGTTTCATTCTAATCTGCTGTTATAAAAAGTGAATTTTGATGTATGTACCTACCTTACAAATTTTGCTTGTCTTCGAATTGATATTCCATCCAGGCCGTTTCATACATTCCTTTCATAAGAGAGTTGGGTTGATGTTGATTTTGACGAATTAAATAAATGAAATCCATTTTCTTCACAATTCCCACAATACATTACACAACAGGACATTCTCATTTATTCTTTCTTCTCAATAGTTTATGAAATTATATTTGAGTTCTGACGTTCATGGTATTTATTGTCAAATTCGAGCAATTTCGAATGGAAAAGCGCAAAACGACTATGGTGCACTTGTCCAAATGCAAGGTGTGTAACTTAATGAATCTAAAAATTCAAAAACACTAACAGTTGTCATTTCTGTGTCCGCACTCTTATGTAACTAATACCATCCAGTGACTCTAGGATGTTCTTGTTTAATACTCGATATTTATTAGAAATGATTATAATGATAAATAAATATTAAGTTATTTCATTGACAACTTTATTTAACTGACATAAACATCAATGTCCTAACCATCATATCACTAAGACCACAGGATGATATATTTCAAACAGTTCTAATAAGTTTGCCATTAACTTTTTTGATTGAACATTCGCAAAAGGACATGGAACATTTGGTGGAAACGGTCCTGCAGAACAACGGGGTGGCTCAGCAAATGAAATACCTCGAAGAGACTCAGTGGCAGGACTCTGTAATGGAAACGATAATGGAGAGAGATACTAGCATTCCAATTTGTGCTGAGAAGAACAGGTTCCAAGATATCGTACCAGGTAAGTGTTGAAAACATATACGACCATGGTTGAAAAGATATGGATGAACTCCAGGAAAATGATGAGATTTTCACAGAGAGAGTGGAAAAGGAAATGAGCGAGAGAGAGAGAGAGAGAGAGAGAGAGAGAGAGAGAGAGAGAGAGAGAGAGAGAGAGGAGAGAGAGAGAGAGAGAGGAGAGAGAGAGAGAGAGAGAGAGAGAGAGAGAGGAAGTGTTGGTTCAATAAAATCTGTCAGTAATAGTGTCTTGTCGTGAAGATCTGAGAGATATGGAGTAGAGAACCTTCAGTTGCCTCATCACCTGCCTCTATCGTCTCGGTGACTATGATTTTTTGATGAATGAATATATTATATCATCACAATATCATGAGAGTTTGTGGGCAACCCTGCACCAGGGTTGCCAGATTAGGGTATTTTCTTCAAAAATGATCGAGGGGATTTTTTCCCAATCAGGTGAAGTAGAGGTACTTTTGCGTTTTCCCGCGGTTTGGCGTCGACGTGATGTATTTAGCAAATTGTCAAACATAATTCTAGGGGGTTCCCAAGTTAATTCTGTTTATAATTTGTTTATTTGAATTTTTTGAAAAAGCTAATATTGTGGGTTAGGTATGTATGTTTAGTAGAATAATATATATTTTTTACCTTGGTATTACTCAAACAATTTTTTAAACTTACGTCACATTGGTTTAAATAATTTTAAGTATTGTTGAAATACTATTGAAATACTAACACATACACGGTCCGATATAATTTGGATCAATCAACTACCACCTTGAGTTAAAATTGAGCCGATATACCGCGCATTCTTATTGGTCTTGAGTAATTTTTCAACTCACACTAGCCCTTTTCGCTAGGGGTACCCGACTTCGGCAACAAACATTTCATACATGAATTCCTATTCCTACCCAATGAGAAACGAAGTCAATATCCGTATTATTCGTAGATTTTGAAGATTTTTTGATAGTCAGCTTATTTAAAGGGAATTTCAAAAAACGGAGACAATATTTTCAATATTTCAATTACATTAATTTGGAATAAAATTAATTATCGAAATTCAAAAAAGTTTCTGGGGATTTTTTCTCCAAACCTGCTTATATTGAGGATTTTTGAAGCTTCGATTGGGGAATTTCGCCCTAGTCATCTGGCAACCCTGCCCTGCACCTGAAGATAATAACTAGAAGAAGATTAAAGTTATCTTTGTTTTAGTCCAACTAGAGGACAAGCTTCAAAGAGACACATTTTCACCTCGGGAATCATCAGACACTTCCTCTTCTCAATCTTTCATCTTCTAATCTTGTTTGCAACCATCCAGTCCAATCTGCTATCAGACGTTATCTTCAAGTGACTGCTTTTACTTTGCAGAACGATACAGAGTGCTCTTGTCGCCTTATCCCGCAAATGATCCGACATCATCTTATATCAATGCAGTTTTGGTAGATGATTTTCGCAACCCAGGCAGGTATATCGTGACCCAACAGCCAATGCCGAACACTCTGGGAGATTTTTGGAGACTCGTGATTGAACGTGGGTGCTCTGTTATCATCAATCTGAACTCAGTGAACCCGAAAGACAAGGTATAACATTCCTCGGAAATGAATCATTGTTTGCTAGATCACTTCCATCGTATTGTCATACCTGTATTTTTTATTGATCATGAATGATGATTCCAGACTTTGTGCAAGTTTTGGCCAACGAAAGACGAGGACATGAGTCCTGTGAATTCCGTGGTTATTCGACATGTCACAACAAAGGAGTTGGAATGTTACAAAATCGTAACAGTCTTGGTTGAAGTAGATCATACTATGGTGAGATGCAATAAAGGAAATGTTTCTGTTGATTCTAACAAAGTTTTTCTCTTCATTATATAGGAGAAGTTTTCAGTAGATATCATATCAATGAAGGGATGGAAACCTGGTAAACTGCTGCCGATCAAAATGGAAGAATTCTTGGCTTTCAGAGATGCTGCAGATGCTATATCGAGGAATTCGAAAAATGTTATTGTAACTTGCTAGTGAGCAGACAGTTATTCCATCAATTGGGGAACAACATCAATTTATTTTTTTTCTAGTGATGGTGCAACTGCTTCCGGCTTATACTTGGCGATGTCATTTTTGATTGAGAGGATGAAACTAGAACAAGAATGTGACGTATGTTTGGCAGTGAGGAGTATTCGACATAGCAGAAAGCATTTCGTTATCACCGAGGTGAGCTACTCAGATTGTGTAATAGCTATTTGTGTATTTAGAGTGCAAAGTGATAGATTGCCGCTCGACAAAAAAAGTTACCGCGCGATGCGGAGCGGAGCGCGGTAATCTTTGGAGAGCGGTAATAACACTTTGTGCTCAAAATACACACAAGATTTTTTCTACTAACGCAGCTTTTGGAAATAACTACTCTGAAAGTATGAGCGATTGAAATAGTTGAAAAAGTTCTTATCCATATTATCCCATATGTCCAAAGGAAACAAACAAGAAAAATTGAAATAACTGACAAGCCAGAAAAAAAATGTTGGGCCCACCAGCGTGGCAACCTGAGCTTCAGACCTCTGAGCCATAGTACGATAAAGTCTGCAATCAAATTGAACATTACTCATTGATGCAATAAAATAAAGATACACTGTCTTTCTGATGACAACGAAGAGTTTAAATATAAAGTATAATTCATCGTTTTCAACAGATATGCTTCATCGGGAGCTTCTTGTAGAAATTTGTTGGTATATTCAGCGGTGAATGTTTTGGATTTTTCTCGCTTTATATCCAATAGATTGTTTCTTGAGAAATACGATAAGTTACAGATACTTATTGATTTCGATATTATCTTTAACATTCAAGCATGTATACGTACCATGGAATATATAGACCAATGAGTTGATGACTTCAAAGTCTTTGATTTTTTACCAAAATAAGCCAGTAAAACGTTTTCTGAATTCATATTCACCATCTCGGAGTGGCACCAATTTATGAATGTATCATATTGTAATTCATAATTCTTTCTTGATTTCTCCGGTATAAGAGATTCAAACTCTTGCGATTTATGCTATATCATCAGGAGGTGTGTTTGATGATTCACTGTCACTATTTTCCATCATGAAAGAATTGGGGGTTTTCAAGAATAGATAAGTATAGGTTACAGAGATGTGCGAGCGTTTTTTCAATATTTCCGCTCACGAGCGCAAATGCTGTCAAAGAATGACATTTCTGGGTAAACGTCAACTTTGTGCTGGAATTTGAAAGCGTCAATGGCTACTTTGTTAAGCGTTTGTAGAAAAACATTATTAGTTTCAGAATTTTCGTTTTATTTGATGATTTGAAAATGTGTTTCTAATTTCACAGGAGCAGTACGAATACCTTTTCAGAGCATCGCTGACGTTCATCAATGGATTCCAGAGTTACGCAAATTTCGATTAGTCTCAGCGAAATGTGAATTTTTCTGTGGCTGGATTCATCAGAATTTCAATATTGCTTCTTGGAAAGCACATGCATCTGAGTAGTAAACATATCTACTCGTATATTGATTTGAGTATTATTCAAAGTATTGTTATATCTCTAGTTCAATCAGTATCATTGGATCGAGTGGCTTTTATGAAATAAAACATAGTGATTATACTATACTATACTATACCCACGCGTACCAAACTAACCATTTTCACGATTCTGCTTATATTATAGTTTTCAGAATATTGTTACTGGATTTGGATAGAAATAAAAAAACTATGAGTATATGAAATCGAATAAATAACAATTCTTTTTTCTTGATAACATCGAAAAATAACATTCCGAAGTATTGAAGCTGGAGACTGTAAGATCAGAGTGGATTATAGTTATTTTCCAAATTCAAAAAAATATTTGAAACGAAGGAAGTATCTCGAATTATGCAGATTGATTCTCCATTGATGTTCGTTGGGTCAGGTATCGTTTCAGCCAGAGATCTTCCAGATCCCTAGTCTAGTGACTGATGGAGGCCGATAGCCCTTCCCACTAAACATGTAATGTTACAAAATTATACCACAATATAGGTATTGTAAAGCTGCTATATTCGTGTTGAGAATGTAACAGAAAAACCAACTGAAAAATGTTTTGTAAGTTACAAAGTGACCCTTCCATTTTAGTTTCAATAGCAATATTGCATCAACTATATATTCTCATTAAAATTGCAACATCACATCGACTAACTACGAACAATATTAGTGCAACGTTACATATGGAACTATCAGTTGTTTTTCAATTGTAGTGTTGCGTTGAAATTGATACTTCACCGAATTTGTGAATAACATAGCAGACTTATGAGATGCAACATATATTTGATTATAAATTGTGTAACAGTTGATTCTGTTAATTTTATATAGATAATGAAAAGATATTCATGTGATGGTTATTCAGAAGGCATACGAGTATGGTTTTATTATTCAAGCAAGTGAATTGTCAACGGATATGATAAATTATGAACGGCTCTTTGATATATATAATATTTAGGACCATAAAATATGTTTCGAATCGATATGTGATGAACAATAATTTGAGTCGAGAACAGACTATAGTTAGTCTGTGCAACCTTGTTTGGGTGATAACTATATAATAGCGAGGGTCGTGAAAGATAAAGTACCAGAGATAGATTTTCAATTTGTCATCAGAATTTCTGAGAGAAACCATATTGGAAATATATTGATGAGTTTTCAGAATAAATAATAATAATATTTATTTCCACGATATATAATATCAATGTAAGTGGAGCCCATTAAATTGGTAACGACTCGTGTGAAAATCCTTTTAAAATTTCGGTTTATGCGCCCGGACTAATATCTATTCCAACCGCCCGCTGTTTCAATGACTAATTTCTTATTGTGGTTTGTGGTACGAGATAGTCTGGTGTATCTCTGAATATTTTTCAAGATTTGGGGTAAAAATTAACATCGCTAGAGTATCTCTGGATTCGATGGTATTTCTATTAATGAAATAAGAACTAATTCTCATCAGCATGCGCGATAAGAAAACGGTATACACCCTATTATCTTGAAACGCGATTATCTACTTCCGGAAATTCTAATTTTTAAGTATAATACTTAGGCTTCGATAGACCGTGCAGATAAATTTGGAGTACAGGGCGATTGATTAGTTTGATGAAGTTCAGTTTCTCTTATCTCCTATATTCACAAAAATATTACTTTGATTCAGAACAGTGTCCTGTCACCCTGTAATACTGTGAATGATTCAAGACATCAAGACTATCCATTGCTAAAATCTCTCAAATTGACAATTTGATATATCAAACGACATTGGAGATACTGCACTTTAGCACACTAATCAATCACTCGGCTTATTAATATTCTTTTCTGATTGGAGAGAAAGTTCCTAGATCAATTACTAGATTATTTTTTCCATTTTTAAAATCACTATAGTATTGAGTGTAATTTCTGGACAATCTGTATGAACAATTTGTCTGCTACCTTCATTCAAGGCGTTTATTGATAGTTTGTCATTGTCACTTAGTCATTCGAAATAATTTTCATAATGTCATTTTTTAAATGAGCTTCACTGCTCGTATTAGATTTATTCTTGATGGAAAAAACGAGGAAATACGTAGGTATATCTCAAATTTACTCAATCTAGATAACACAAATTTATTAAATGTCGCATAAGTAATATGTATATAGTAGGGGTCGCCCCCTCCTTGTATCTTCTTTATTTTACGTATTACAAAAACTGTTGAATGCATAAGCTGTGGGGATTGATTCAATCTATATTCAATGGTTCAAGATTTATTCATATATGGAGTGTCTCAAAAGAGCGCTGCGACAAATGAGTTAATTTTTTTCTATAGGGGCACCTGAAATATTATATTGCATTCTTGGATTTTACGTTGACTGTAGAGAAAGTATGATATATATTTTTATATCACAGAAGTTGACAGTTTTGGGATCATAAATAATAATTAATAATTGATATTCCGACTATTTTTGTACCAGTTCAAGTGAGGAAACATTTGGAATAGTATATACTATATGAAAATACCAAATTCGAATAACCTATAAGATGTTTGTGATGCAGAATTTTCCTATAGTCGATTATCACTCATAAATATAGCCATTTCCATTTGTCACTGTAAACCTACCATACTTATTTAATTTTCTGAGCGGTCATCGATCCGAAAAATACGACGTTTTTGCGGTTTCCAACTGCACACACTGTAATTAGGTATGTAAATTCTAGAAAAAATCAGCAAATCTCATTAGGAATGTTGTCCGAGGAGAATGTGTTTATGATTATATTCATTTCAATAAATGAATGTTGATAATCAAAATATCAAACGTGAGTAGGATGCTGATGTCGTAGAATTAAAATCAAAATTCGTAACGAAACGTAATAATTTTCATCTCTTGGAACGTACTACGAACCTATATTATATTCAATTCGTTCTATATGAACAGTGCATGTTTAAATACTACAACTCTTCATCTCTATTTGTAGTTTCCGAGATCTATTTGTCTATAATATTGGATCTACCCCAAACAGACAAAACAGCAACAAGAGAGAATTTCTGTCGATATCAACAAAATTAGTACTTTTCAGAGACATTTTAGAAACATTTTGAAAACAGGAGTCGCCGGCGACAGTTTTTGTTGATTTCGGAGTCCCAGTCGAAGGCGGTAACTTAAAAGGGAAAAAGGGTTTTTGTACGACTACGGACACAGTCGGCTGGGGGAAAATAGGTCTCGACACGTATCTTGTTTTTTGCAGTTTGCAGTTTGTGCACATTGTGTGTTTATGGTTAGTCTATCTATTTATTTATTCATTATGCATTTGAATATCCAATACCTACCAATATCTTTCAGAATATGACTGAAAAATATAAAAAGTGGGAAACAGAAGAGGTCGGCATTTTGATTGAAGCTTTTACCTCGAACATGCTAATTTATGGAACCCCAGCAAAAACATGGGCTATGAAAACCGAAATGGAAAAATGGATGCGTACAAGCATAGATTAACGACTCTAATCTATGGTACAAGGAAATTGGTTCCTCATTCAACACAACTACACCCGAAAAGATCATATTGTCTCAGTATCAACGCGAAAGACGGAACTATAGAAAAATTTGTAAATCTGGAGCCGGTCATGTTCTTTTTCAGATAATTCATAATAAAACCTCCACCCCAAGATGTGATCAAGAAATCTGCCCAGTGAAAATGAGTGAAAACTTAAATGGAACTAGAAATCTGTTTGAGTCCGTTCAGTTGCAACAACGTTTCTGATATGTTGCTGCTTTGTAGGTTTTGTTGGAGTTTCCATTTTCGGAAACAAAACTGCGACTCGACGTATCTGTTTGGTGGAAATCCGCCATAAATACTTGAATTCGTGAAAAAATAATACATGTCGGTCTGTCGCTTGATACTTCCTGGAAATTAACAAACACTTGTAGACCAGTCCCTTCGAAAGCTTAACTCTAATTCATAGACATTTATGGTTTGTGATTCAATCTATGCCAAATCGATTGAGAAAAGTTATTGTATACACTAATGTATCCTCAACTTCCTATACTAAATACTGACAGTATTCGACCGCAGTCTGAGAACAATGCTCACTCTCATCAGGCACATACTGAGTATCATCTGAATAACAGTTTACGGAATCTGGACTTGATTCAATAGTATCCCACACGTGAATGTTTTGTCCTCGGTTTCTTCAATTTTACTAAGAGGATGAAGGAATTCTCGATTCCTTCTGTAGGTACCTTTGATGGGACTACATACAATATATGGCCGTGGAGAATGGTGTTTGGACTCAACGGTACCGGATTGACGTAAATCGGAAATCCAAACATGTTGGCCTTTTTGAAGTTCTTTTAAATCTTTGGCTCCATGAACAGAATCAAAATTTTGTTTTTGACTCTCCCTTCTTTTTTCCTCTTTTTCAAGGATGGCACAGCGGTCAGGTGTAAAAGAATACAATTCTTTAGATTAAATTGGCACTATTCTTCTCAACTTCCTACCCATCAACAATTCTGCAGGGCTTAAATCATTTGAATGGGAGTTGTTCGTAAGGCTTACAACATTTCATATGGATCTTCACTCTTTTTGAAATGACGTTGAAAATTTTTCACCTCTGGGACTCTATGAACCCATTGCTTTGACTGAATCTGGGACTAGACGTCACTATCTCAAATTCATAATTTCTTGAAAATCGCTGGTATTTTGATCCTGTTATCTGTGCAAACTGTGAACCATTGTCACTTCTAACAACTTGCAAATATTGACTTGAGGTGAGTTATGACACATGATGAAGTCACGTAGTTAAGCAACTTCAATAAACCTTGAATAATCGTCAGATACTTAACAAGTTTCCATCCAGTTTCAGTAAGTCTGTCCCAATAACCTGCCAAGGGTGATCTGGAAATTCAGATGGTAACAAGGAACACAGTTTTTTATCATTTCCTCAATGTGTACGGACTGTCTAGCTAAATATCTACATTTGCTAATTCCTTGATCTCCCACATGCAATTTCGCCAGGACATCCCTTCTTAATTCATGTGGAATTATGATTCGACTATCTTTCATTAAGAGTTCTTCTTGTAAGGTTATTACATATCTCTATGTTGACAGTATGGAACTGCTTCTTGATAAAATTTATGACGTAGTGGCCAACCATCTATACAATATTTGATCAGCTCAGAACATACAGGGTCTTGATAGTCTCTGATCTGTTGAGGGAAAGCTTCTTATAATGTGCTGTACAGGGTGGCCAACTAAGACTCCAGAGTTCGATTTCTCTGTTGTCTTGAGAGATACAAAAAAAATTCATGTTTCAAAATTAAAGTATTAACCGAGCTTCACATTTCAAAATTTCTTTGAAATACACAGGGTGTTCCGTAAGGTCACAGCACATCAAAGCTATGTTTTTTTCATTGGAACACCCTATATTTTATTTCATTTTTGAATTCTCCCTGAAGATCTGATTTCAACGACCCAACATACTTAGGGTCTAGCAGTGAAAGTTATTGACATATAGGGTGTGCAAAATCGAGATTTTCCAAGTTCAGGATTTTTTTCTGTCGAAATTGTTCATTATTCGTCAAAACGGTTTACATGTCCCTATCTCAACTTTTCACTCACTATCAATTAGTGTTCAATTGAAATTGATACAAGGTGGTCAAAAAATCTAAATTTATAATTTGTTTCAATTAAATGTCAATTGAACACCAACTGATAGTGAGTGAAAAGTTGAGATAGGGACATGTAAACCGTTTTGACGAATAATGAACAGTTTCGACAGAAAAAAATCCTGAACTTGAAAAATCTCGATTTTGCACACCGTATATGTCAGTTACTTACACTGCTAGACCCTAAGTATGATACGTCATTGAAATCAGATCTTCAGGGAGAATTCAAAAATGAAATAAAATATAGGGTGTTTCAATGAAAAAAACATAGCTTTGATGTGCTGTGACCTTACGGAACACCCTGTGTATTTCAAAGAAATTTCGAAATGTGGAGCTCGGCTATCACTTTAATTTGGATGCAAAACTTTTTTTTGTATCTCTCAAGACAACAGAGGTATCGAACTCTGGATTCTTAGTTGGCCACCCTGTACATAAGCTGAAATTTCTTCAGTCAACTCTTCACAACCTTCAGAGTTCAATGGGCTCCTGGACAGTATATCATCGATGACTACATCTCTTCCAGGTGTATACTTTATTCCATATGAATATCTCATTAATCGCATCTTAACTTGTTGAAGGCGTGGAGTTAGACTATCCAAATCTTTTTGTCCAAGGATTGACACTAACGGTTTTTGGTCCGTCTCAATACAAATTGTTTCTCCAACAATACAATTTGCAAAATTTTCGCAACCATATGCTTTAGCCACAGCCTCCTTCTCTATCTCGACATAACGTTTCTCACTTGAAGACAAGGTCCGGTAAGCATAGGCTATGGGCTTGAACACATTATCTGATTGACGCTGCACTTGAACTGCTCCTAGTCCATAGGAAGAGCTATCTACAGACAACATAGTATCCTTGGTTACATCATACAATGCTAGAACAGCTGGATTTGCTATGATCTGCTTAATCTTCTAGAAAGCATGCATTTGTACATTTTCCCAGAGTAGAGGGGCTACAGGGCTACCAGCTCAAGCCAATCAGAGGCCAGCATTTGGTTGGAGGCCACGCCCACTAAAAACCAGCGCGAAATTCAAATTATTCATACGGCGTCACGTCGCCATCGTGAATAAATAAATTAAAAAAAGCTGTCACCGCTGGGGGGGGGGGAATTGAACCAGGGACCTTTGCATTATGAGGCAGCGTATATACGCACTGTGGTATTCCGACCTCCGTGATATTTCAATTATTTTAATGCTATTCAAACGGGATATCCATCGCAGGCGCGCGCTTATCTTTGCAACGGATCCATCGAGGTACAGTGAAGCGAGAGATGCATTCCAGAGATAAGAAACTTCGAGTCGAAAATAATATCCATCGCTGGCGCGCGCTTATCTTTGCAACGGATCTATCGAGGTAGAGTAAGGCTCGAGCGCTCGGCGCTGCAACATTGTCGGACGTATGTGTTTGGATGTTAATATTGTTACATTATTGTGTGTGGCAACGCTTTCTCGCTTCATGGCGTTCGAAGATCCAGCAAAGCGAGAGATCCCGTAGAATGATAAGCGCGCGCTCGTATTGGAAACGAATACTTGGATTATTTATTTATTTTAAAGTGGGTGACGTCATGTCGTTACCTTCATGGCGTTCGAAGTTCTAGCAAAGCGAGAGATCCCTTAGAATGATAAGCGCGCGCTCGTATACCCATTCCTCAAACTGTGACTTTAATGACAATAACAAGATTGAATTTTCATATACAGGGCGTTTGAGTTGATTGAAAATTGAAAAAATATATATACAGAGTGTCCCACGGTTCGCAGTCCCATGTTTTAGCATGGAAGAAGTGTTTGAGTTGAAAGAAATATATACAGGGTGTTTGAGTTGATGAAGATTGAAAAAAAATATATATACAGGGCAGCCCATGGGGGTAAAAGAATACGAAAACGAAGATAAATAATCTATTTATTTAAGTAATCCTTTTCTACAAAAATGACATGCCTCTTGAGAAGATGGCGGTCCATCCCAGTGTGTGGTCCAATCGGGACGATTATAATGAACGAAGCATGGCAGTTTGATTTGAAGGTTAAAGTTGCTGCGATATTCTTGAGGAAGTTTGTGCCACACCCTTAATAGGTCACAGGAATCTGCATGTTCAATGATACACTCTACTGGAATATAGTGCAATTCTTGTTCGGTGAATTTTAGCAGAGTGGTAGCAGGAGATTTCAGGAACTCTAAGAGCACAGATATTTCAGATTTATAACAGAGTGTCTCAATACTGGAGAGTGGATTGCTTTCAATATCAATAGAACGTGGGAGAGTTTTAAAGAGTGAAAATTTCGCTATAATCGACACCAAGCATTGTGTGTCGAGAAATGCGGGAAATTCTTGAATAAAACTAATCTATACCACCATATGAGGAATGCCCATAGAGTGGACGCCACCAATTCGAATAACCTAGCTGATTAGCGGATGGCAGTTAATGGATTCAGAAGTCTTCAGATCACACCTATAGAAGTATTCAGAGGTATTCAGAGGTCTTCAGATCACGCATTCAGATGTCTTCAGATGTCTTCAGATGTCTTCAGAGGTCTTCAGATCACGCCTTCAGAGGTATTCAGAAGTCTTCAGAGGTATTCAGAGGTCTTCAGAGGTATTCAGATGTCTTCAGATGTATTCAAAAGTCTTCAGCTGTATATCAGACACCATAGCGTTCACATCATGGAGTCTAAACCACATTCATCAGAGCAAGCATTAGATAAATATCACTGTGCAGATTATGATAATGCTTATGGACTGAAATATGTTGACGGCAGATGGACACTTGGACATAAGAATCTACGCTTTGAGGACCAATACATAGGCGTAGATAATGTCGATTTTAAAAGTAC